TGGGAAACCCAAAAGTCGATAGCGAAGTCTCCTGACTTGAACTTTTTCCCCAACGGTTTAGATACAACTGTACTGGGTGTAGCTATTGCCTTAGTGAAAGAACTGGAATTCTCTCTCAAGGAAATGGAAGAGATAGAAGAAAGCATTGGTATGTTACTATGAGTGACTTACAGGAATAGGCTACTCCTGTGTGCAGAACAACTGGGGTCAAGGGGGAAGCTGGGAAAAAGACTTTGTTTGATTTACATTCCTTCTCTTGTCTGCCGTTCAGCCTGTGAGTAAATTGCTATTCTCACCTAGCTTCTCTCACTCAGTCCTTCTCTCTCCCCCTCCCCTTCTTCCTCTCCTCTCCCTTCCCCTCTTCCTCTCCCCTCCTCCTTTCCCTCCCCCTCACCTTCTTCCTCTCCCTCTTCCCCCTCTCCTCTTCTTCCACCCCCTCTCCCCTCCTTTTCCTCCCTCTCCCGTTCCCTTTCTCCCTCTCCCCTCACCTTTTTCCTCTCCCTTCCCCTCCTCTCCCTTTTCCTCTTCCCTTTCTCCCTCTCCCCCTCTTTCCTCTCCCCTCCCCTTCTCCCTCTCTCCCTTCCCCCTCTCTCCCCTTCTTCCTCCCCACTCTCTCCCTTCTCCCTTTTCTGTCCGTCTCCCCTCCTCTCCACCCTCCCCTCCCCTCTGGTTATAAGTTGAACACTAGCTCCATTTCTTCTTTCTGTTATTTTAACCTAAATGCTTTCTACTCCATTGCCAAATTTATTCCTTTAGATTTATGTCAATACAATGAAAAAAATAAAGGAAAAAAAGAAGCTGCACTTGATAAATCCCTTTTTTTCATTTATTTTCTCCCCTTCCGGGGTCACCCTTCGCATGGCTGAAAGAAATGATAAAAGAGAAAAAAGAATCAGGCTGGAAAGGTTTTGAAGGCCACCTCTATTATATTTCTGAATCAACCATGATATTTCCTGAAGCCATCCTGGAATGTAAAGACCTGGACTCTGTTTTGGCTCCTATACTTGACCTCAAGACAGAAGTAAGTAGAAGGTAATGATAATTAATAATAATAAAGTTGGAAGGGACCTTGGAGGTCATCAAGTCCAACCCCCTGCTAAGGCAGGTAACCCTATGCCATTTCAGACAAATGGCTGTCCACTCTTTTCTTAAAAATCTCCAGTGTTGGAGCACTCACCGCTTCTGGAGGCAGGTTGTTCCACTGATTAATTGTTCTCACTGTCAGGAAGTTTCTCCTTATTTCCAGATTGCTTCTCTCCTTGATGAGTTTCCATCCGCTGCTTCTTATCCTGCCTTCAGGCGCTTTGGAGAATAGCTTCACTCCCTCTTCTTTGGGGCAGCCCCTGAGATATTGGAAGACTGCTATCACATCCCCCCTCGTCCTTCTCTTCATTAGACTAGACCCGTGGTGGCGAGCCTATGGCACACATGCCACATGTGGCACACAGAACCCTCTCTGTGGGCACGCACGCCGTCGTCACAGTCCTAGGCCTTCAGCTGGGTTTTATAAAACCTTTTCACTTTAGGCCTCCGCCACTGTATGCAAAAAAAAAAAGGTTCAATCAATCAATCAATTTCAACCTCACGGGAGAAAAAAAAGATCTCACAAAGTTGGAATTGATTGATTGAACTTTTAAGCCCACCTAGTCTACCTACCACTGCAGCCACGCCCACCCAACGGGCCACACCCACCCAATGGGACATGCCCACCCGGCACCCAATGATACATAAGTGGGTTTTGGGTTGCAGTTTGGGTACTCGGTCTCTAAAAGGTTCGCCATCACTGGACTAGACATACCTAATTCCAGCAGCCGTTCCTTATATGCTTTAGCCTTTTTTACATCACGGTGACCAAAACTGGATGCAGTATTCCAAGTGTGGCCTTACCAAGACCTTGTAAAGTGGTATTAATATTTTACGTGATCTTGACTCTCTCCCTCTGTTAATGCAGCCTAGCCCTGTGTTGGCCTTTTTGGCAGTTGCAGCACACAGCTGGCTCATTTTAAGGGATCGGCCACTAGGACGCCGAGGTCCCTCTCACAGTTACTACTATTGAGCAAGGTACCCCCTATCCCGGTGATGGCGAACCTTTTAGAGACCGAGGACCCAAATTGCAACCCAAAACCCACTTATGCATCATCGGGTGCCAGGTGGGTGTGGCCCATTGGGTGGGCCTGGCTCATTGGGTGGGCGTGGCTGTGGTGGTAACGGCAGACTGGGTGGGACTAAAAAGTTCAATCAATCAATTCCAACTTTGCAAGATCTTTTTTTTTCCCCGCGAGAAGTTGAAATTGACTGATTGATTGAACCTTTTTTTTTTTTTTTTGTACACGGCGGCAGAGGCCTAAAGCGAAAAGGTTTTATAAAACCCAGCTGTCATGGTTCTGACTAATGAAACACTTCAAAGAACTTCCAGGCATGATTACCCTAAAGCCTTTTATTGTTACAGGCACAGAATCTGAATTCCTCTTGCTGGCATCTCACTTCTCTTGCTAAACCCCTCCCTTATCTTGCAGTCACAAGTCACATCTTCCAATTAGCCCAGAGGGCAGAGATTCACTTCCCTTCCTTTTTTCTGGCTTCTGAATTAACTCTAAAAATACCAAACAGTTCTGCATATTGTCAAAAGCAAGAATATACAATATTTGCAGCGTTGACATCAGCTGAAGGCCCAGGACTGGGGCGATGGCGTGCGTGCCCACAGAGAAGGCTCTGAGTGCCGCCTCTGGCACCCGTGCCATAGGTTCGCCACCACTGCCCTATCCTATACCTGTACATTTGGTTTTTCTTGCCTAAATGTAGAACCTTGCTTTTTTCACTATTGGTTTCCCGGTCTTCCCCAGCATAATTGACATTTTGAGAATATGTCACGCGAGCACGTCATATGATGATGGTGATCAATCAATCCATCAGAACAGAGCGGGAAGGGACCTCTAGTCCAGCCCCCTGATCAAGCAGGAGACCTTTGACTATTTCGGACGAGTAGCTGTCCAATCTCTTCCTAAAAGCCTCCGGGGATGGAGCAACGCTCAACTTCTAAAGGCAACTTCCGTTCCGCGGCTTCATTGTGTGATTTAAGCACCGAAGTAAGCAAATAAAGTAGTTTTGTCTTTTTTTTTTTTTTACAGCACTTTGCAGAATTTATGACTCAATTCTCAAGAGTTGGTGTGTGGATTGGACTTTGGAAGGAGAAAAGCTGGACCTGGGTTCATGACAATTCAACGTTGAAAAAAGGGCAAGTCTGTTCTTGGGAAAAGAACACTTTATGTCTCAGGCACAAAGAGCTGTGCTTGCATTTGTTACCCACCAAATCTGTGCTTTAAAAAAAAAAAAGTTCTGTTTTTCTGAAATGCAGAAATTATACACACACACACACACACATAGAATCAGGCTTGGCAGATGCTATATTTTTTCTATCCTGCTCTGTGGAGTAGAGAGTTGGTCTCTGACAGAAGGCCACCTGAAGAGACGAGAAGCATTTGAAATGTGGATTTACGTATAAGCTGAGCTGACAAGATCAGAAATGAGGAGGTGATAAGCTGCCTGGGAAAGCCAAGGGAAATCATCAAAACAATTAAAAAATGAAAATTAGAATACTTTGGACATGTGATGCGACACCCAGAAAAATACGGCACACTCCATTTAATCCTCCAGGGAAAGATGGAAGGCAAACGAGGTCCAGGCAGAAGAAGAACATCGTGGCTTCAAAATCTAAGGGACTGGTTGGGACAAAACTCAGCAGCACTTTTTTGTGCGGCTGCAGATAAGAAGAAGGAGAAGGAGAAGGAGGAGGAGAAGAAGAAGAAGAAGAAGAAGGAGAAGGAGGAGGAGGAGGAGGAGGAGGAGGAGAAGGAGGAGAAGAAGAAGAAGAAGAAGAAGAAGAAGAAGAAGAAGAAGAAGAAGAAGAAGAAGAAGAAGAAGAAGAAAGAAGAAGAAGAAGAAGAAGAAGAAGAAGAAGAAGAAGAAAGAAGAAGAAGAAAGAAGAAGCTTCAGTCTCATAAAGGTTGGATCAAAGCCGGTTGTTCCCCATCCAGACAGACCTCCAGTCTCCAGACACCCAGAGAAGTATATCTATGGCAGTGTTTCTCAACCTTGACAATTTTAAGGCATGTGGACTTCAACTCCCAGAATTCCACAGCCAGCAATGCTGGCTGTGGAATTCTGGGAGTTGAAGTCCACATGCCTTAAAATTGTCAAGGTTGAGAAACACTGATCTATGGCATCATTTGGATAGCCCGGGGTGGAGATATATACAGGCAGTCCTCATTTAGCCCTGCCCAAGTAAAGGCCCATCCCATCGAGGGTTTATCGTAACTAGCATCCACAATGTCAACATTCTGTTGACGTGAAAGGATTCAATGGCACTTCCCTTGCAGCTTTGACAGAGAGAGGGAAGCGTTGCTCGGTAGCCTGGACTGATCACTTGTGTATTTTTCTTGTTTCTCTTCTTAGTTTCTGGAAACGAGGAGCACCAAAAGGAAGGAACCTGTGTGTCGAAATTGGAAAAGATTGTACCAGTAAAGGGCAATGTTGGAATAACATTGCTTGCGACCAAACCAAACATGCCCTTTGTAGACTGGCTGCAAATCCACGTTGGATATCTTAAGATACGGTTGCCCCAATCTCCACGCCAAAGCAACAACCCGTGAAGCTTTCTTTCTTCACCAAATCAAGAGCTGTGCCATTTCGGTTACTACCTTGCAGAAAAAGAGTGCCACCCTGTTGCTTGGACGCTTTCCCAACCAGTTTCTCCCATGCTAGAAAAGAGATTTCTGTGTGAATTGGGGAAGCAGAAGACCTCACGAGCTCATGTTCTGGTGCCAAGGATGGACCCAGATTATTAACATTGGCTTCCCCTCATTCTCCCCTTCTCCAAAGACCACCCTATCCTTTTGATCCAACTTCTTGGCATTAAAAGAGATCAAAATGCATGCATTTGAAGTTCTAAAATCTTCCCAGATTGCCTGCATCCCTGGCCCAGAAGACCCTTCCAGCATCTGAGGAACCAGCTAGGCAACCTTGGATGAGAAGCTGAGATTTTTGCCTACCTACCTACGTAATAATAATAATAATAATAATAATAATAATAATAATAATAATAATAATAAAAAAAAAACTGCTCTGGGACTTCAGAATTCAAACAGACAAGCACCTGCAACATAACACCCCAGACTTAACAATTGTCGATAAGAAAGACAAAAAAGTCTGGATAGTGGACGTGGCAGTGCCTGGAGATAGCAGAATAGAAGAGAAAGAACTGGAGAAGATAACAAAATACAAAGACCTCCAAATAGAAATAGAAAGACTGTGGCAAAAGCAAGCAAGGGTAGTACCAATAGTCACAGGCGCCTTGGGTGCAATCCCAAAACAACTGGAGCACCACTTGAACACCATTGGCATTGACAAATTCGCTATTAGTCAATTGCAAAAGGCGGCCTTACTAGGAACTGCTTCCATCCTGCGACGATACCTGTAATACCATCAAACATCCACATCTGCCTATCCCAGGTCCTGGGTAAGGACTCGATAGGTAGACAAAATGCCAAATCCAGTCTGAACATCTGGCTGACTGTGCGATGATCCATAATAATAATAATAAAGTTGGAAGGGACCTTGGAGGTCATCTAGTCGAACCCCCTGCTCAGGCAGGAAACCCTAGACCATTTTGGACAAATGGCTGTCCAGTCTCTTCTTAAAAACCTCCAGTGTTGGAGCATTCACAGCTTCTGGAGGCAAATCTGAAATGATATAGGGTCTCCTGCCTGAGCAGCGGGTTGGACTGGAAGATCTCAAAGGTCCCTTTCAGCTCTGTTACTCTGTTATTCTGCCTCCTGGTTTCTACCCCAGGTGCTTTTGAGCACTGTCCCAAACTTCCTTTTTTTTTTATTGAAAATTTTTAAGTTTTACAAAACAATTCCCTTCCCCGAACCCCCCCGACCCTCCCATACCCTCCCCCAACCTCCCCAATCCTCCCAGACCCTCCCCCAACCTTCCCAGAGCTGAATACAGGCTTAGTTAAAATTTTTCAAAAAATCTTAAAACACATATAAATCCTAAGCAAATCTAAATACATTAATTAAACAAGTTATAAAATAATTAATAATAATAAATTTTAGGTGTAAGTTATTGAAAAACTAAATTTATATATACCCTGACGATGATGGCAGCAATATAGCCATCGAAAGCTAGGTTATTTATTTATTAAACATTTAATTGTTTTACCTCCTGGTGCTCGTTTTTATCTTTTGAATATATATATATATATATATATATATATATATATATATATATATATATATATATATATATATACATATATATATATATATGTCTTCTGAGGTTTTCGCGGGTATTTGTATGTAGGTCTTTGGTTGCTCGGGTTTTCTCCCGCGTAAAATTGGAAGTGTCTTGGCGACGTTTCGACGAAGTCCCATTCGTCATCTTCAGGCTGGTGTTTTCAGCTTCGTGCTTTGAGCAGCAAATTATATTATATAAAGTCTATCCATTTTTTCCATACCAAAAAATCCTTCTCTTAAAAATAATAAAACCAAACCAAACAAAAATTTTTTATAATTACAAACATTAAACACATTATAATATACTCTAAACATTTTCTAATGTCATAGTTATACTATTATCCATCATTCTTTATAAACTCCCTCAAAAACACAAATGTAAACATTACTTAAAACATTAAAATTCCCTTATGCATATTTAAAGCAAAATGTTCCTTTAAATACTCCTTAGATATCTATACATACAATATAAAATCTAATCTCTCCCTCTTTCTTTATCCTAAAACACAAAAATAAACATATAAACATTCATTATACCATTAAAACAAAATACTCTTTTGAATACTCCTTAAATTGCTCCAAACTTCCTTTTTTTATGAAACTCCTGCCACTCATAAATTCACTGGGAACAGGAGGCAATTGCCGGACTATTTGAGGCTGCTTCAACAGAGTGATTCCACTTAAAATCTACTTTAAGATTTTGTCCTCAACCTACGACCACAATTGAGCCCAAACTTTTTATTGCTAAGTGTTGTGAATTTTGGCCCATTTTATGGCCTTGCTCGCCACCGTTAAGTGAAACACTGCAGTTCTTAAGTTAGTAAAACGGTTACATGCATCCCTCACTGACTTTGCTTGTCAGAATGTCGCAAAAGGGGACACCGTGACCGTCGTAAATATGAGCCAGTTGCCAAGTGTCTGAATGTTGATCGCGTGATCACGGGGGGGGGGGGAGAATGCTGCAACAATTGTAAGTTTGAAAAATGGTCCTAAGTCATTTTTTTCCCAGTGCCGTTGTAACTTTGAGCGGATACTAAGCGAACGGTCGTGACTCAAGGACTACCCATGGACTTCACCTTTGCAGACTCACTCGGTGATTAATTTGGATCCACCTATCCATTCCCAATTATCACCTTTATTTGCAGCTGAAAGGCCAATCCAAGATGGCTCAGTGAGCTGGGTGGTGAGGTAATTCTGCAAAAAATATGCAAAACGCAACATTTTAGGGAGACCTTTACAATGGAGCATGTGTGAAAATTTGGGTGATGCTAAATTTTACTTGGTTTATTTTCGAATTTGTACGATACATGCAGCTCCTATGATTCCATCATTAACGGGACTAGGCCAGATACTGGGGTGAATATTCAAACTCTTACAACTATCAGGGGGAGAAATGGACAATAAGAGCTCAGAAGTTTAGAAAAGCAGAAATGCTGCTTTTGGGGTTCACCTTGAAGGATTCCTTCTCCAATGCCATTGAATGTGGAACACAGATTGTATAGATATTCCATGGAGCACGGGTAATTTTTTTTAAAAAAAGAAGTGCATTGCAAATTAAAAAAAAATAGTAAAGAAAGAACACATTGTTGAACCAACCATCAGAAAGAAAATAATAATAGTAATCCAGTCTGAACATCTGGCTGACTGTGGAATAAACCATAATAAGAATTGAACAGACCAGGCATCTGCCACATAACACCCCAGCTTTAACAATAGTCACTAAGAGAAAAAAAAAGTTTGGATAGTGGATGTGGCAGTATTTGGAGATAGCGGGATAAAAGAAAAAGGACTAGAGAAAAATCACAAAATACAAAATAGAAATAGAACGATTGTGGTAAAAGAAACAGAAGATAATACCTATGGTTATAGGTGCCTCCAAAACAACTAGAGCACTTGAACATTATCGGCATTGACAAATTCACCATCAGTCAATTGCAAAAGGCAGCTCGGCTCGGAACAACTTACATCCTGCAATGATACTTCTAAGCCCCTCAAACAACAACATCTGCCTATCCCAGGGTCCTTAAGAAAGGGCTGTAGAAGTGGATAAAAATGCCAGATCCAGTCTGAACATCTGGCTGACTGCGGCCAACCATAACAATAGTAATAACAACAATAAACACCTGCTCTTCATGACTTAGGGTGGAGGCCAAATGGCTGTCTCTGGACACACAAAAGTTCTCAGTGTCGTACCAGGTACTTTTTCCTTTTGAAATGTAGTACAGATTCATCCCAGAAAGATTCCAGCCCTTTGCAGACTTTCCAGTTTCTTGGAAGAGATCATCTAAAAAGAACAGGTGTGAAGGGAAATGTCAAAACTAGCCAATATTCTTTTAGAAGGCAAGATGGTTGCCAATTTCTACTCTGTCTTCTAGATGAAACTCTGATTTTTTTTTTTAAAAAAAGTATGTGTAGCTCAGGGTTGAAATGAGGGATCCTTGATGTTCTCTGAACTTGGTTATTTTCTTCTAGATTTGACCCAACTAGGTAACATCATCAGTGCTAGAAGGGATTGGTGAGGGAGGAGGAGGAGGAGGAGGAGGAGGATGTGTGCTCCTTGGTATTCTCTGAACTTTGTTATTTCTTGCAGGAGTAAGAATAGCATGAAGCGTTAGTATTGCTTTATAATGCTTTGGGTAAGGCCACACGTGGAATACTGCATCCACCACAATACAAAACAAAATGTTGAGTGCAGAGTTGGAAGGAGTGCAGAGAAGAGCAACAAAGAGGATCGGGGGAGGGGGGGGCTGGCGGCTAAAACCTTTTCCTCTCCACAAGGGGTCCGTGGGATCCAATGAAATTGGCCCTTACAGATCTGAGTGCCTTTTCTCACCTAGATCCCTCACAACATTGACACCATGTGTCAAGCGTGAGGCTTCAAGATCTCGATACTCACAATAGCTTTTCTTGTGATCCTGGAGTTTCTTGTGAGCATGTTTGATGTAAGCAGGCAACTTTATAGCTTCCTCTGCTATCTTCTTGGCTGAAAACATTAACCGGAGAGACTGAAAAGATTTCTTTGCACATATCCAGTCCAGCTGCTGGTTCAGACATTTATTTATTTATTTATTTATTTATGAGACTTATATACCGCTTTAAGTGCAAGCACTCTCTAAGCGGTGTACACCAGTAAGCAATGTATATATATATTTACATTGCCCCCAACAATCTTGGTCCTCATTTCACCTACCCCGGAAGGATGGAAGGCTGAGTCAACCTTGAGCCGGTGAGATTTGAACCGCTGACCTGCTGAACACAGTCAGCTAAAGTGGCCTGCAGTATGGCACTCTAACTGCTGCGCCTCCTCTCTTGCAAGATTTAAATCCTCTCTTGCCAAATAGGGCACCCAAGTCAGCTTAGGTCAGTGGTGAGAAATGGTCAATTGAGAAGCCCCCCCCCAGTCCCATCCCATCACTCTCAGGAATTTAAAAGTACAGCAGTGGCCAACAAGACAGCGTTATTGTCAAGCACCGGCAGCCAGAACCGCTTGTGAATAGTTTTAAGCTGAAGCTTTATTGTTGATCACCTAGTTTATAAGAATCTCACCAGACTGACTGCATTCCCTTGGGAACAGTCAGATAAGGCTTTGGTGAGTCACCACCTTACAAAAAAACGTGTGGAGACTTTGGGAAAAGTGCAGAGAAGAGCAACTAGGACAGTGGTGGCGAACCTTTTAGAGACCGAGTGCCCCAAAATTGGCCCCG